GCAACACTAGACCTTGGGAATCACCTAGCTCATCTCCCTCTGCTTCATTTTCCAGACCAGATAATGGAAGCTGGGAGAGAAAAGTAAAATGCCTTGTTCAAGGTCACCCAGGAAGGTAGAAGCCATTCATTGAAGTGGTTGTTGCATTTATTTTAGCAAGTATGACTAAGCCTGACAGTCCCTGCAAGAGGGTCAAACTCATGCCTGTCTGAATTCTCTTGGGTGTTTAGTGTTGGGATAAGTGTGTGTGGGGAGAATCCTTTTTTGTATTTTAGTTGAGTGGTAGTGAGCTCTGTGGTTCCCTGGGAGGCAGAAATATTAATAGCTAACATTTGCACAGGCCTTTACAGCTTATAAAATACACTCATATAATTGATCTTCTTTAGTCCAATAGTCCTTCAAGATAGTTATGATAATTATCATCATTCTTTTACAAATGAGGAAACTAAGACTAAAAATGACTCGCTCAAAGTCACACAGTTAACATGAGGCATATTTATGGGGAATTGAACTTATATTTGTTTGATTTCTAATTTTAGCAAACTGGCCCAGCTGACAAGACCACCTTTTGAGAGTTAATGTCAGGGCATAGTTGTCCTCTGCTGACTCTATACAGAGGTAGAAGAAGGTATGTACAGGCTGCTATCAGCATTGTCAAGAAGGACCATCTAAATGCAGATGACAAACTCTCATCATCGGGGTCTCCAAAATGACAGGTAACAAGATGGTGGAGAAGGCAATAATGATGTCTCTTCTGGTACAGCTTTGTCCCTTTCAAAGTGCTTTCCAGATTGTTTTATGAGAGGCCCAAGTCAGGCAGACTTCCACTTGCATATGAGGCCCATTTGCATATGAGGCCCAGAGACCAGAGCAACTTGTGGAAAATTGCAATGCCAATTAGTGATGGAGCAGGACTGGGATGCACAATTTCTGATTTCCAGATTATTTCTCCTTTCCTCTAGAGTAGGTGAGTCTAAACGGGCTCCCTGACCCTGGGTAGTGAGCAGGAGCCAAGGATATCATGGTTTCCCTTCTTGTTTGGGAGGAAACCCAGACAACAAGCCTTTTGCCAAGTGGCTGCAGGCACCAGGCTTTCCTTTAAGCTAGGTTTCTGAGCTCTGCCTACAGAGACAAAATTGCTCCTCAGTCATGTACCCAGCCTGTCTCTCTGTGAGCTATCTCAGCTGCACTGTTGCTCAAGGGAAGAGAAAAATCAGGTGATAAAGCATTTAAATTGGTTCTTGATTTTAGCCGGATTCTTTCATCTGCACTTGCCAGATGCTTAATTGTGTTCAAAATTCAATGGCAAGATAAAGATTACAAAGGAAGGACCTCAAAGAGTCCTGGGCTTCTAGAACTGGAGGAGACTGCTGAGATTCTCACAGTTGGCTAAGTCAGTCACCGAGGGATGAAGAAAGGTGGGAGAGACCCCCTTCACAGATTGCTCTGGGAGAAATGCCTTCTACCTGGAGATGATGGGAAAATGCTGGTTGGTCTCAAGAGGGAGATAGGTAGAAATTTTCATATTTTGTAGACATTCTTGAGTCCAAATCCAGTTCTCCCTTCATATTCCAGGTAAAAGGTACAGCATAGATAAAGTAATAGTGCTATGTTCTACCTGCATCGGGAACCCAGATCCACAGGTAAGGATAAGGGAAAGATTGCCATTACAGCCCATTTATCATAAGACACGATGCACTGCATGTTTCTGCAGCATGCAAAAACACTTCTTGGCAAGGACTCACTGCAAGCCGGAAGATACTGATTTAAGCAGATGTGATTTACAGTTGTACTAACTAATGAAAACTTCTGATCAGACACAACTGATCAATGACCATTTATGCCCAATTATAAGAACACAGTCTGTTCTTCCACAAGAATAATATTCTTATTAAAACCTACCAGAAAACAATGTAATAAATTAGTGGAATATTTGATAAACATTTTTAAATGATCTTGTGGGCCTCCATGGTTTCTATGAAGGGCTCTAAAATAACATTTTAGAGAACATTCTGATCTAGCTCCCACAACTGGGTCACTTACTACGTATTAGAGGCTTTGTAGATCATTCTGAGAAAATCAGAAGACAGAATCCCTCACCTTGAGGGGCTTGCAATCTAAAAAGAGAAGCTGGATAGACACTAGCAACATCAACATATGCATAAGTACAGCCTCTCAGAGCCACCCCTGCGAACACTAGAATGCATACAGCAGTGCCATGGAAGGCTCAAGGAAGACAGTGAGAAACAACACAGACAAGGTTTTTGCCTTCAAGGAGGAGACTGAAGAAGTTTAAAGGAATAGCTTTTGCTCTGGCTATCCCTTTTATCTTGGTTGCCTTCTCCATTCACTCTTTCCTGCCTGTCAGAATTCTGCCCATTTTATAAGGCCTGAGCCTTTCTTTCTCTGTGAAAATTCCTTTCCCTGAGATCTCTTCTTCCTCTGGCTCCTTTAACACTCACTGCCTGCTCCACTTTCAGGTCACTCACAGGCTTCTCTGCTATTGCTAGTTATGTGTTCACATGTTTATGAGCTGTCTTCTTAAGAACTTGGGTTTTATTCATCCTTGAATCTCCTTTACCCTCCCGTCCCTAGCATAATGCCTTGTATGTATTAGGCATGAAAACATGTCTGTTAATTGGTTGATTTTAAAAATATATACGTATACTATAAGTTTAAAGGTTGGGGAAATTACTTAGCGAAATATCGTTTTAAGAAACCTATCACCCCCAAAATTGAAGTGACACAGTGTTTGAAACCCTCCATTAGAGATACATGCCTTTGATGGCTGGACATGGTGGCTCATACCTGTAATCCCAGCACTTTGGGAGGCTGAGGCAGGCGGATCACCTGAGGTAGGGAGTTTGAGACAAGCCTGACCAACATGCAGAAACCCCATCTCTACTAAAAATACAAAATTAACCGGGCATGGTGGCGCATGCATGTAATTCCAGCTACTCAGGAGACTGAGGCAGCAGAAATGCTTGAACCTGGGAGGCGGTGGTTGCGGTGAGCCGAGATTGCGCCATTGCATTCCAGCCTGGGCAATAAGAGCGAAACTCCATCTCAAAAAAAATTTTTTTAAAGAAGGGCAATAATTAAGTTCATTTAATTATGTTATTAGTGACTTATCAGTTTTATTCTCCAATAGACACAAAAACCGAGTTGGGTAAGATTACAGTTCAATTCTCAAACAACCGCGTCCTCATTACATGCCAGGTCCTGTGTTTGGTGTGGAGCCCAGAGATAACTGAGACATAATCCTGTCCTAGAAAAGCTTACATTCTAGTCACCAGAATATTGTACGATAGTTTCTTTGGGGTCTATGACAAAGCCAAGCACAGGATATGGAACACTTAGCCTGTCCTGGAGGATTCAGGAAAGGCTTCCTGGAGGAGCCATCAACTTGCATACCTTCTCCATGCCTTCTCTGTCTGCCTGCCTGCCTGCCTTCTTCACTTTTCTACTGGTAAACACAGCTGCCTCAAGATCCACCTCAAATGTTACCTCCTCTGAGAGACCTTCCTAAGCCTCAGAGGCAGAACAAGTCCTTCCCTCCTTAGTCCTCCTAAACCTCTTTGCCCAACTGTATGATAGCATTTCTCACATCTTATGTGGTTCCTGCGTCTATCCTCCCCCCACCCCGTAGCCCAGTTAGATCGTGAACTTGCAATAGACAAGAGCCACTTCCCACTCATTTCAGCCTTTCCAGCTCCTACCACTGTGCCAGGCACGTAGTAGATAGGAAGACCACTGTGTTATTGTAGTTGACTGGGAGACCTCTCTGATAGCACTGGCTCAGAGCTGGATTGTGTATCTCTAGGCCATGAGTTGAGTGCCAGCTGGGATGTAGGAAGCAACAACTGCCCGCCAATATTAGTGACAAGTCACTCCCTGACTCCATTCAGCCCAGTACATACTTACTTTGAACCAATTCAAAAAAGAATTCAGGCACCACTACTAGGATACCTACTGCTGTGTACCAGATGCTTTACATACATGATCTCATTTACTCCAGGTAACAACTCTGAAAAGGGTTACCTATTCCCTTTTATCAGCCAAGGAGAGAGGCTCACAGGGGTTACTGATCCAGGGTCACATATCACCTAGGGTGGTCTGCTGCAAAGTGTATCTGCTGTGTCCTGCTCCATTACAACACAAGGGAAAGTATATCTGTAAGAGATGAAAACCAAAGGTCCAAGAGTCATGCAAGATTTAGAGAGTGAACATGGGAAGGTGGCCATCAGAAATGTCTTCACAGAGGTCAAGGCAACGAATAAAACGGAAAAAACAAAGAGAAAGAAAGATCTTGAAGACATGTGCTTCTTGGTATGGCACTGGATGCACCAATGCATGCTAGGAAAGAAACAGCGGGGTTGGGGGATCCCCCTCCTTCCATGACAGAGTAGAGAGGATCTGTTTCTCCCCTTTCCTTGGAGTAAGGAGGCTGTCTTCCTCCCTAGAAGAGGAATTTCTTTTTTTGTCTCACCATAGGGTGTGTGTGTGTGTGTGTTAGTAAGAGCGGATTATTCCCTTCCCCCTCTTCTGGGGGCTGGGGAGATGACACCTTTCTCCCCAGCGTTGGGAAAGGAGGTGGTTCTTTTCCTCCTCACTACAGGGTGTTCGTGCGTGTGTGCGTGTGTGCGCGCGTGATTGAGATGACTCCTTTCGTTCTCACCTCCGCGTAAGGAGGCTGACACCTCTTATCTTTCCAAAGGGAGTGGGGTCGGTTTCCTTCGCCTCCATCTCAGCTGGGACACGGCTCTTTTTCTCTCTAACCAAAAAGATGGTGGGGACTCTGGTTCCTTTTCCTTCCCCTGGGGAGAAGGCCTGGCTCCCACACCCTCCCCGCATAGTCACGCTCAGGTTGCAGGAGGCCTGGGTCGCCCCCTCCTGCAAGCCCCGAGAGTCGCCAGACAGGCGGTTAGGTGCCCTCCGTGAGGGGGGCGGGGCCGCCTCTGCGGCGCGGGGCGGGGGCTATCTCTGGCCCCGCCCCTGCCCCGCCCGCTCCCTCTCAGCGAGCCTCGCGCCGCCCGGCTTGCCTGGCCCAGTCGGCCGCGGCTGTCTGCGGGGTTTGGCGCCGGGGGCAGAGTCTCTGCTGCCTAAGCCGCTGCCTCAGCCGCCTCAGCCGCCTCAGCCTCGCCTTCCGCCCTCGCTCTCCCTCCGCGCCGCCGGACCCCGTAGCCCCGCGCGCCCCCAGCCCGTCAAGCCAGATGATGAACTTCCTGCGGCGCCGGCTGTCGGACAGCAGCTTCATCGCCAACCTGCCCAACGGCTACATGACCGACCTGCAGCGGCCCGAGCCCCAGCAGCCGCCGCCGCCCCCCGGCCCGGGCGCGGCCTCGGCCTCGGCTGCGCCCCCGACCGCCTCGCCGGGCCCGGAGCGAAGGCCGCCGCCCGCCTCGGCGCCCGTGCCGCAGCCTGCGCCGCAGCCCGCGCCGACGCCGTCGGTGGGCAGCAGCTTCTTCAGCTCGCTGTCCCAAGCTGTGAAGCAGACCGCCGCCTCGGCTGGCCTGGTGGACGCGCCCGCGCCCGCGCCCGCCGCTGCCAGGAAGGCCAAGGTGCTGCTGGTGGTCGACGAGCCGCACGCCGACTGGTAGGTGCCGGGCGCCGCCGCCCTCGGGGGTCGGGATCCGCCGGCAGCCGCAGGCCAGGAGAGGACGGTCCCAAGTCGCCGAGGAAACGTTTCAGACCAATAAAAAGGAGGGTCCCTGAGGTCCCGCTGGGAGGAGGTGGGGGCTGAGCGCGCATTTGCGTGGTGAGGGAAGACATCCATCAGCCCGGAAAGGCGAACCCTAAGCTAAAATACCCCTCGAATGCCCCGGGTCTCCCGGGTCACATACAAGAAGGAGCTACTTTATGCAACAGGAAAGGCTCTTAGGAAATTTTTTTTTTGGGAGAAGACGAGGGGACAGACTTGTCAGCTTAGACACATAAAATCTGAGGTGAAATAGTCCCAGGTGGCTGAAGGAACATTTAGGGTTTAAAGTAAAAGGTTTAACTTCATGAAGCACGGAGTGAATTTGGAGTGGAAATTGGTATTTTGGAGGGAGAGGGTGGTGGTGGGTTTTTTTAACCTGGACCCATGACGGCTGATATCAAGTATTGACATCAGGTTGATGAAATCACAGATGTGGTGGCCCAGGTGTACACGGGCTTGTTTCCCGGACATGGCTGAAGTCTCTTTATGAATAATAAAATTGTTGTATTTTGTGCAGCAGGGAGGGGACGTGTGGTTTTTTTTTTTTTTTGATTGCTTGTTTTTCTGAAATGTGTGTGGTGTGGGTCGGGGGGTGTGTGTGGAAGTGAATGGTGGCTTTTTCTAGCAGAAAGATGAAGACCTTGGTAAAATATTATGGGTCATTAAAGAGGCACAAATAAAAGGAGACCTGCCTTAATGTAGTAGATGGGAAACTTCAAGAATTTTTTTTTTCTTTTAAAGGAATAGGTAGCATGTTTCCAACTTAGAATGGTGAAGGCTGCTGGTTGGTAAAAGTACGAATGAGGTCCACTTAAGACAAATTAGTTAAAAGCGGCTCTATTTTATACTTAACCTAGGGAATGGTGGGATGGTGAAATTGACAGGTGAAGGGCTTGGAGAAATGAAGAGGCCAAAAATCTGGGGGTGCCTTTTCTCCAGGAATATGAGCGAGGGTTTTGTTTGTTTTTTTCTCACAGGGGTTGAGGTTGGAGACTGGACCTGAGTGTTCTTACCAGGAGGGGTGCACAGAGAGACCACAGAGCTATTTCTCTCCATTTCCTCTTTTGGCTGCTTCACCGCTTTCTCTCTCTAGCATTCTCTGGGAGATCCAGAGGGAGGGAGTGCTGGCATGTGGGTGTGGTGGAAATGAGATGCAGATGTGGAGATGCTTGGGTGACTTATGTGGTTGGCCTTTTCAAGAGAGTAGAGTAGAAAATCCGAAAGGACTTTTGCCAGGAAATGACAAAGGCACATGGAAGAGGGTAATGGGGAAAGTGTAAATGCATATGATAGTGCCACTGGCAGCCCTCCTTAGGAGAATTACTCTGACTCAGTTCATATCAACTAGTGCTTATTAAGGAGGAAGGGAAGGTAACCAAGCTAGTAAAGGTGCTCAGTCAGAGCATCCATTATATGCCAAACGCTGTACTCTCAGCATGATATCTCATTGCATTTTCTCCACAAAACTGAGGCTTAGGAAAGGTAAGTAGTATGTTTACAATCATATAGCCAGCAAGTGGTAGAAGCAGGATTTGAACTTAGGCCTGTTTGACTCCACTGCTTTCATTCCACTGTGTTATGTTGCCTCACTATTATTATTAGCAATATTAATAACAAGCTCCCTCTAGGCAGTGTGGGGGCCTTTTAAGAGAACTCACTCAAATTTGGGACACAAAGTGGATACATGAAACAGTTAAAAAGAAATCTAGAATTATTGGTTGAGACTAGTGTTTCAGGCAGTCAACAAATGGAGTGGTTAGTGAGAGCCAGAGTTATTGGAGAAAGCTTCATAAAAGATGAGTCTTGAAGAAAGGCCAAGAAAAGGAGGAGGAGAAATGAGAATGACATTCGTGCTTTATTTTTCTGTGCAGGAATCTGACTCTCCTGTACCTTGTCCTGATTTCTTATCCTATTAAAGGCACTTGTTTTGAGTCTTATTGCCGGTTACGTATCTATAGATAGGTACTGATACTCATCTGTATGGGTATAATGAAGCTGCTGCAGATTTCTGTTTAGTTATAAATGCTTCTGTAGCTTAAGATTTGAAACTCTCTTTCGATAGTATTCTCTAGGAAGACTATTTGGCATAAACTAGAGAATTTGCCTTGCCCTGGAGACTAGAAGCCCCTGATGGAAGTCATAGAAGCCACTTTCCTTTGGGCTGACTCCCAACTGTTTTCCTATTTTCTCTGAAGTAATAACATTGATTTATTAAAACTCATAAGCCCAGTTCAAGTCTAGTTCTTGACAGTAGTTCTGTGTTCCTGTGTTTCTGTGCTTAATAACAATTCCCAGAATTGCTCTTCTAACATGGGCCTAAATTTGTCAAAAACATCTCAGTTAAATATTGATGAGTGGTTTTATTGAAAAGTCTCTATGAGTTAAGGAGCAGGTGCATGCCATGACAAACGCAGTGACTTACACAGGTGATTTTTGCACTGAAGGCTGATTTTAGTAAAATTGTCTCACAGTTTAAGCTACCTAGATAGTATTCAATGAGTGATATCGTATATGCCCTATATTATTTTCCTGGTGCTGGAATAGGAAGTCAGAGTGTAGTCTCAGTAGAACTTAGAAATATTGGTCCCCTCTGAATTATAGAATGCTAAAATAAAAAGGGTTTGAACAGCATTTAAATAACAAGGGATGTAAAAGAAGGACTTAAAATAAGCAGCCTCTCAGAGCATCCTTAATACACCACAGTTTCCTTTGAATTTCTATCATTGTTATTGTGAGCAATTGGAGACCCCACCACTGACCAGGTTGATGGGAAAATTGGAAGATGTTTTTCTTTTGCTGGAAATGTTTTCATTGGTTGTTTTTGAGATCTTTAGATTAATTGCACACTAAAAGATTATTGAAAAATTTATCTGTGCCATTAAAAAAATGAAATCAAGCTCTTTATATACCTTATTAATTATTATTAGTGTTTTTAAAATATTGCCAGAAAATGAATGTCCTCTTTTAAGGTTCATGGCTAAATTTGAAATGCAATTAAGATTGCACTTTGATGATTGTGCTTAAGCAAGGAACAGGTGTTTATGTTGTTTCTTCTGTGTGTTATACTCTCACTAGTGAAGAGGTAAGTTTTCTCTCAGATTCTGTCCTGCCTCTGTTCTGGAGATTCTGACCCCAGTGATCAAGTGAGCTTTTCATTCTAGCATGATGTTTCAGTGTTTGATTCAGTATAGCACAGGTACTCTTGAGTGTCTAGACTGCAGATATTAAGTCAACAGATATTTATGAAGCACCTTCTCTGTCCAGAGGATATTTGCTAAGAAAAATGAGACACAGTATCTGCCATCTAAGAGCTTACTGTCCAGATAGGTAGATAAGATAAATACTTCTAAAAAAAATTTTACTAAAAAGTAACCCTTGGGCCTTTGGATCAACAGCATTGGCATCAACCAGGAGCATTTTGAACTGCAGAATCTCAGGTCCCACCTCACACCTACTAAGTCAGAATTTGCATTTGAATAAGATCCCCAGGTGATTCATAATCACATTAAATGTTAGATGCACTTAGCTAAAGGATATACCATTAGTGCTAAGGGTGTGGCAGTAACACCAACTACTGTCATTTATTGAACAACATATGCCAGATGTAATAAGCTCTGTACCAATCTCATTTACACTTTACATAGCAATGTAATACTGCAGAAGTTTGAGAGTTAAGTGATGGATCTGGGCTAGAGTGGGAATGGAAGGTTTCTCAGAAGAAGTGAGGTTTTAACTGAGCTCTGAAGAATTGGAATCAAAAGAGATAGGTTTGTCTCAGTCCAGGCAGCGGATAGCGTAAGGAAAGTACAACAGCAGAAAAGAAGGGGACAATGAAGAGACTGAATTAATGCTGGATTATCTAGGTGTACCTGTCTCCATTCTTTTCTAGCCAGCCTTTGAGCATTTCATCAAGAATAGAGGAATTCAAAGTACAGCAGTCTGCTTGAACTAGTGCTTGTGAGTGGCTCTAAAAAATACTTGAATTTGAACTTGAAGGAACACTCAAATAAGGTTTGGGGCTTCTCTTTGTTTAATACTTTAAGCGACTTATTTCTAATCTAAATATACTGATTGCACAGAATTTGATTGTTCATAGCAGCAGTTGCTTGCACTTTAGAATTCTCAGATATTAGAGCTGAAAGATCACCTGAGTTACTTTATAAATGGGGAAATCTTGATCTCGAGAGGGGACGTGGCTTGTTCAAGGTTACTCAGTTAGCTAATGGTAGAACCAGAACTAGAATCTAGAACTTTAATCTCTCTACCATGGTTTTTTTTTTTTTTTTTTTTTCCCCACTCTACCACAGTATCCCTCCATTTTTACTATTTTCTACCTTTAACTTTTATATTTTTCCATCCCTTACTATCTCAAGGACTGGTGGGGACTTTTAATCTCATAATGATAGCATTTAAACTTGAAGGATCCTGAATCATCATCTAGCCTAGAGAAATGGAATGCTTTGCCCAAGGTCAAATAAGAAGTTAGTGAAAGAATGGGAACTAAAACTCACATCTGACTCCAACTCAAGTTTCTTTTTACTCTTAAGTCACTCTTTTAGGAGATTTCTCAAATTCTTTTTCTCCTGAAAAATACTGTTTGTGTTGGCTTCTTTTGAAGACTCCTCATGGAGCTGTAAGTGCTTAAAAAGACCATATAAGCACGCTCACACTATTAGCCACACCAGCAATTACACTATTCCTTGTTTGTGTTCATTTGTGTTATTGTTGTTTCAGCAAAGTTCATTCTAAAATGGTTGAAGAAGGCTGGGCCTGGTGGCTCACACCTGTAATCCTAGCACTTTGGGTGGCTGAGGCAGGCGTGTCGCCTGAGCTCAGGAGTTCAAGACCAGCAACACAGTGAAACCCCGTCTCTACTAAAATACAAAAAATTAGTT